GAAGGAAGATCACGATGGGAACCCTCTACAAGAGTTCAAACACCAGATAGAACTTCAAGTTACTGGAATAGACACAAGAACATACTGCGCCAGCAATTTACTAGCAAACAGTTACACATAAAAAGAATAGTGGGTATAAACTTCATTATGCATTTACCATGACGAACGTCAATAACTATTCTTGGAATACCGAAGGCATCAGCTGCTTCCCCAATTGAAATTTCATTCTTTTTCCGAGTTTTCTCCACCATGCCATTTACAAGCCTTGAGGAAGTATAAAGGAAAAATAAGGATTGAGGATAACAGTTCAAATTGTTATGCATAAAGCCCATAAGAAAGAAAAATCAGAGAAGGAAAAAAGAATCACTTGCCTCACAATAGCCATACAATATAACATGGAGAGCATTTCCTCTGATTGTGAACAGCCATCATTCAATTCATTCCTACATTCATACACAGTAATATAAATTCTAGCCACATGTAAGACCAAAGATTGATCCAATCTATCACTTACATGATTTTACACTGGTTATATTTAAGAAAATTATTGCATACATCTATGCATGGCAGCCCTTATTTGCAGTAACTAAAGCTCACTACAAATAAAATCATTTATCCATGGAGCTTTAAATGCAATAAACAGTAGGAAACGGATGCCAGCTATAATTGAAGGAAGCATTAGAAAAACAATTTGCAATGTCGTTGCTGCTGTGAATTGGACATGAAAAAACGGGTTTTTGCTGGAAATTCAAGTTCAGTAACCAACTGGCGTTATCTTCCACCCACCAACAAGAAATAGTAAATCAATTGCCAAGGAAGCATCAATACACTAGCTAAACGGTCATCTACACAACACAACAATGGGTAATATGATATTCATGAATTAAAAACACAAACTGACATGAAGTAAGGATCTTGCTGCTGAATCTCAATAATGGACGCAGTTACTTCAACGGCCACAGGAATGCATCCTCTGCTGCGCCACGTGGATATCTATATGAAAATCCACCAACAAAAGTAAAGCATCAACTTTTGTTGTTTTTTTTTTCTAAAAAAAAACCCCCACTATTCATAACTAAATTTGAGAAAATAAAATAAAATAAAATAAAATCCTTACTCGTTTGAGGGCAGAGGCGACGGCATTAGGGGATGAAGAGAAAAGGGAACCCCTGACGAACTTCCACTCGTCCCAGCTCATCCATGGGACCAGCTTCTTGTCTTCTACGACGTCGTCCTGCAAGTTCTCGTTAAACCCTAACATTGATTCCATTTCCGAATTCCCTCTCATCAGTATAGATCGAAAGGGTCAGAGCAAACGGTGGATTTTGGGGTTTTAGGAAGGAAAGAAAGAGGTTTTAGAGACGACATTTGTTTTTTTTTTTCTTTTTAATCAATAGTCTTGATTTATTGGGCCTATCAGATACACACATAATGGGCTAAACCTTATGATCAATAATGGGCCGTTCCTAATAATAATGGGCTATATTTGGCGCGTTCAGACAACCCTCTAATTCTATTTATAATTTAAACACAACGTTTGGAGAATGAGAGAAAACGACGAGTCTCTACAAATTCCCGCAATCTTTCAGTGCAAGGAAATATTTTCCTTTGTTCAACTTTCTGAAAATTTCCTTGTTTTTCATTCCTTCCTTTTTCTACAGTTTATTTATAAATATCTTCCTTAAAACCCATCTTTACTAGTTAATTTGCGTGTGATTCAACTCTTCAGGACCTGAAATTCGTAAGTACATACAAACTTTTTATCTTCTCTGTTTTAACTTTTTTCTTCTTTTCTGATTATCTTCTCTCTTTTTTCTTCTTTTTTTGATTTCATAGCTTAACTTAGATGGTGAAAAAATATCAGATAAACAATTTTGCAGCTCTAGGAAGAATTTAATTTAAATAAATAAATAATCTAAAATTAGTGTAATTTAATTCTTAAATTTATCATGGGAACGTTTCGCAACGGACACCACCCATTGAATTCCCATATCACAAATATATTTCTCTCAACTTCCCAGCAAACCTCCGGCAACAATTTCCACCAAGTAAATTACAAATTACTTCAGGTAATACTTTTCGTTTTTTTTTTTCCTCTGGTATTTAAGTTATCAATACGAATTCATCTTACTCGAATTCAATATCCATAACATGAATCACAAAACAAAGCAAATCTCGACTAATTCATCCGTAGAACCAAAACTTACCCCTTGGCCCAAAAAAGAAAATCTTAGTTCCCAACCGTCGGATGCGGGCTCCTGCCGAAGGATTTGTCGATCATGGAAATCGCAGACCTCGTTTGGAGTACTTTCAATTCTCGGAATTGCAGCCGTTGTAATTTTTTTTCCGTCGTTCCCCGGCGAGCCCATTGAATTCAAGTTTTTTTTTTCTTTCTTTTTTGCCTCGAGCCGGCCTTCCTTTGGAAATTGAAATAATTTGGGGATGGTTTTTGTTTTGAGTGCGTATGAATTTCAAAGAAAACTTTGGTGTTTGGGAAGAAAGGAAAGCATTCGTGAATGTAAATAGAATAATTATAAATTTATACAAATAAGAATTGACAACAGTGGAATCACTACCCCTTCTAGGTTGATTATGCAATGTTACCTGCTTAATCCTCTTTCCCGGCCGCTCTTCATCTTGAACCTCATCCAACTTTGCTTTGCATCTTCTCAAATGGTTTAACATAGCACTAGTACTTGTACCTTGCTTGCCCTTACAAGTTATCAAGGTAGAACAGTGGTTACAATTGGCCCTATCTCCGGCTTTAGTTCTTGTAAAGTTATCCCATGCAATGGATCGAGGTTTGGGTATCGCATTTGTGGGAGCTGTTGCGATTGGTTCAGCTTGAGCTTCAGCTGCTATCTCAGTCGGTTCTGTCTGTGGCTCAGTTGGTGTTTCCATTTCTAATGGCTGGGTTGAATCCACAGCATCACCACTGGTTTTTGAACCCATTGACACCATAATTCTATAAATCAAAAACCAATAAACCAATAAATCTACCAAATCTTCCCAAATTACTTCACAAATGTTAAACCAACAAACCAATAAACCAATAAACCAATAAACCAACAAAAGAAAATTTTCGGTAGATAAAAAAGAAAGATTGTTTGTATGTATACATTATCCTCAAAGTCTCAAACGGACAGTGGAACTGGGCAAAATCAGTAAATAAAAAATCTCATACCTTTGCAGCAACGGCGGTTGTGGCGAGAAGAGGCGAGGAGCAGCGGGAAAGAGGGCAGGGACACCAACAGCAACCTAGGGCAACTCGCGCGGAGCTGAATCTGGGGCTGGACAACTCGCGCGGAGCAGCAACCTAGGGCAACTCTCGTCTCGCGAGGTAGAGGGATGAGCGATTCGAAGCTAATATTACTACTTCATCAGTTTTCAATATAACAACCAAGATTAATTAGAACAATAAAAAGGTAAATATAATCAGAAATGGGCAACGACTCTATCAGTCGACATTGGTAAAAACCGGCAAACCAAGATTATAGCAATTCTGAAAATAGCAAAATATAGTACGAAAAAGGAGAGCTTTTTAGGTTTGAGTTATCCACGTTCGAATATGCTTAAAAATCCACAAACAAAGTCGCAACTTTAAGCTGCGGTGATCGTTGGATTTAAAAATAAATCGGCTTATTTTCAAAACACCGTCTATAGAGGTCATCGGGTCACCAGAAATGGAAAATTACTGAGAAAATAAAAACCAAAAATCTAGTCCATTTTCCTTGCTAAATTGGATGATCTGCAGACTAATCTCACTTAAAGCAAAGTCCAAGAAAATTGATAATTCCATGTTCCACTGCTAATTAAATGACTAAAATGACAATGTAGTATTTTTTAAACCCCTAACAACAGATGAAAAAAAAAAAGAAAAATCAAACAGAAATTGAAACAGATCCAATTTTTACCAACACAACAGCAAGATCCAATTTTTAGCACATTCATTATTACCAACACCATCAAAACCAGAAGATGGAACAAGGGCAAAGAACAAATCAAAAAGATCCAACGAAAAACAAATTAAAAATGTAAACTTTATTAGTTTTAAGGAAAAGGGCGAAAAACAAAAGCTTACTTTTAAGCTCATCAAGCCATCGTTGGACACTCTCGAAGGTAGCTTTCCTGGTGATGTCGTAGACGACGAGGGCCCACGGCGCCGCGGTAGTAGGTGGGCTGGGCGGCTGACTGAGTGACTGGAACAAAGGGATGAACGGAGGGAAGAGCGTGACGGGCCGACGGCGTGAGGAAGACGAGAATGAATTTTCAAGTCTGGAGCAATTAGCTAGGTTAGAATTTGGGTGCGTGACTGAGTGTTATTAGGTATTTACTATTTAGGTTAGTTTAAGATATATAATATATAATATATAATATAATATATATTTTATAAATTTTAATATAATAATGGTTCGGTTCGGTTAACCGGGGTAAAAAAATCCTAAAAACCGTAACCGAACCGAACCGAGCAAATACTTCCTTTGAGGTATTTGTAACCGAACCGAGTACCTCGGTTAACCGAAAATTCGGTTCGATTTCGATTCGGATCTACGATTCAGCGGTTCGGTTCGAATTTTTTGCCCAGTACTACAATTTAATATATAATTAATTAATTTGGGAAGAAGTATAAATAAGTAAATAAATAAACTTGCATACTTGTGATGCGTCTATTTGTGTGTGGAGGCTGGATATGTAACTGCTCTGCTGAAACGTTACACGTCTATTTGAATTCTCCTACAACCATCAAACACTACAACTCTCATGATTAGTATCAGTTTTCTGTTCGACTTTCTCTATTCATTCTCTTGATCCATCAAGGTATGTCCCTATTTCTCCTGCACTGTAATTTTATCCTGCACTGTAATTTTCACACAGCCATCGACCAATCAAACAACAACAGCCTTTCAACAGATGACACCCAATACACAGCTTCTCAACTTCACCCAAATCACAGAAAAAACCAAAATAAAAATATAGACAATGAATGATCCCCAGTCAGACACCAGACGGCCTTCGGCAGTCACTGTGAGAACCGTTGGCAGCCGGCGTTAAAAGGACGCCGCCGGTCGCTGCGCCTTCACACTAATCCTCCGGTTGCCGCCGCTCGCGATCGCCGCCGAGTTTGATGGTGCGAAATGGAGAACTTGGGGGAGAGAAAAGAGGAAGTTAGGGGAATAATTTAGGAATATTTGGGTACGTAAATTGGGGGAAAATAGAAATTGTGGTTTGTGGCCTGCGGTTAGTGAAATATTAGAAAGAAAAAGAAATGAAGGAAGAAGAAGAAATGAAAAAAGGAAATAGGAGAAGAAGAAAATGGAGGAAAAAGGCCGTGGTAGGTGACGAGAGAATGGGAGAGAAAATGGCTGAAAGAAAAAAAAAAAATCAATGAATTGGGGTTTGACCAAACTTGAGAATTTGGGCTCCACACAAGGTGTTAGGCCCAAGAAAAGAAATCAGTAATGGGTCAAGTGAGGAGAAAAGTAGGGCCTAGTTAAAAATGAATATTGGGCTGAATAAGAACGGCGGTGTTGGACTAGTGAACAATTTTGCCATGGACATCCGAGAAGAGCTTTAACCTAACTACCGAACTTCGATCTTATCATCAAGCCTTGACTCTAACCCGTTATATCTTATTATTCCGACAATATTTACACTAAATTTTATATATTCTAATAAGTCATTTATTTCGGGTCGAGCCATCTATTAAGTCAAGTTACATTTTATTGTAGGACAAGGTTGTTGCGCGGTAGATCAATCAAGCACAGGCAATTTTCAAAGTTATTTCACGAGCTACAATTCAAGGTGCAATTTACTTTCCAAAATTAAAGTTATTTTACATGTCTTAGATAAATCATTCATTAATGTTGTCAAATTATTTAATGTAATTCTCCATGCGCAAATGTGACCTTGGGGTTCGCCAATTCATGTAGCCTTCAGGCTTGACAATCATATGGCCGAGTACTCCATGTGTTAATGTGCACGTAAAACATGATGGAGATTCATCGAACGTGAAATTTTCATTCATTGGAGATTATGTGATATTTATGAGGTGATTAGCATAAGTAATATTAAAAGGGTGAAATACATTCTATGTGATTTATGTGTAATCGTGTGTTTTAGCTGTGATTGTAAAATATGTATGTTTGACCTATAAGATATTAAAGTTTATTTAAATTCTTCTGGTGTATGTTTTAAATGATGATCTTCGACGACCATCATGCATGCTTGATGTTATGATATTACGTGCTAAGAAATTGATAACTTGTTGTAATAAGGACTTGATAGTTTTCCCTCTTCTCTTTTAAATTGTGTTTATTTTATAGACTTATTAAAAAGTCTTTAAAAATCTCAATTGAATATATGTAAACTTTCCAAAATTCTCTAAAAGTTTTAATTGAATACACTAGAATTTTGAAAGTCTTGAATAGTGTCTAAAAGTTGAAATTGAATACACCCCTACATTTGTTGGCATACTAGATGTGCTTATTTCTTTATAACTTGACTGAAAAATACTGTTTTATAATAATATGTGGATCTCTTTTTATTTTATAATGTCTTATCAATGTCCTTGAGTCACTAACATTTAATGATGGTAGTATATTTCTAGTATCGAGGTAGTTAATGACACATTCTTAAATGATTATTTATGAATTTAGGATAAATTCACTTATCATAATTATTGAATAATCTCATTAAAAAATCCATCATTAAAGAATCCATTAAGATTTGTTGTTATATTATCTGATTGGAATCTATCATTAAAGAATCCATTAAGATCTGTTGTTATATTAAATGGTTGGAGGTGTTCAACTGAAATGTTAGGTGACCAAATTTATATTTTGAGTTTTAGTGGATAATCTACTAAAATTATATCTATATCATGATGATCTTAACTATTCATGTGATCCATGTACATTAGTTCGGGTGATTTGTGTATATGATTTTTATTCGTTATTGTATATAAAATCAGAGTGCGGAACGAGTTTTGATTATTTATTAATTATTAATTTAAGAGCTATGTTATTTACTTGCTTACATCTAATGATTTCAAAAATGGAATATTTATGTTATAGATGATTTTTGTTAACGTCCCCAAGGATATTTATTTTACGAAAAAAGTTGCAAAGAAAACCTGAAACTAGAATGATCGATTTTTTGGTAGAATGATGAGGTTGTGTTGTGTTATCTAATTTACTTTATCTTAAATACCATAAAGTCCAAATTTAATTAAATTTTTATTTTGTATTTTGTGTACATTGTATCGTGTCATGTCGTGAGAATCGTATCAGTTGTCTCCATAATTGTTTAGTGTCGGCTGTTGTCAACCCTAATTATGCATGTTTTCCATTGTCTCCGGGATTGTTAGAGAATTCATCTCCAGCCCCGAAACGCTCGAGAATCCGCAATCGACAAGGGGAAGTTCTGGAGCAGCCTCAATCCATAAATTGTCCGCCGTCGGCTAAACCCACCCCCGTTGTCCATCCACAGCGCTGGTCTTTTCGAGATATGGTCAACAAACACAGAAACCATGTGGATTTGAAATATGGAGATGAATTGGGAGCGAAGGAAAGTGAGGATGAAGTATCAGTGGACTTCTCAACCCCGATGCCGGATATCAAAGTGTCTAAAAGCTTCTATGACCGAGTAAGTAAAGAATGGCAAAATGTTGTTGTGATTAAACCCTTTGATGAATCGCTTACGATGCCGTCCTTGTACAATCGTCTGACTAAAATGTGGCCGTTTATGACGGGTAGTAACATGATGGATTTGGAAAACGGATTTTACCTTATTCACCTTCACACCAGTGAGGATGCCGTGCGGGTTCTCACGGGAGGACCATATGTGGTAGGTGAAGGATATATGCATGTGCAACCTTGGACCATTGATTTTGATGCCACAAAAGAAGATATTTCAACTACTATTGCTTGGAATCGATTACCAGGATTGCCGGCCCATTTATACCACGAGAAAATCTTCCGTATGATTGGCCGAGTTGTGGGAAGAGTTGTTAAAATCGATCAACAGACAGCTGCGCTTACTCGTGGTAAATATGCTAGGCTTGCGGTGCTCGTCGACATTAAGAAGCCACTGTGTGTAAGTTTCACTATCAATGGTAAACGGCAACGAGTGGTCTACGAGAATATGCTCAATATTTGTTTCCACTGCGGAAGAATTGGACATTCAATTGGAGTGTGTCCGCATAGACTGCCAACTCAAGAACAGACTGGAAGAAATGATATCCCACTGCCAACTCGTGTTCCCGATTCAGAAAGCGGTGAAGGTTGCTCTGGGGTACAAAAGGACATGGAGGATGGTGACAACGAGCCGATGTACGGACCGTGGATCCAGGTACCGCAGCGCATTCGTCAGCCATATTCTAGGCGTAATAAGGGGGATGCAGATCAATTCAAAAATAATTTGAAACCATCATCAGGATCTCGTTTTGATCTTCTCGTTAGAGAAGAAATGAATGAGTCTAACCAGACCTTTAATTTCGAGGCACAAATCGGGGAAAATATAGGGAAGGCACCAGCGATACCCAAAGTGGATCAGGCTCCTAAAGGCGATGGGGACTGGCGGGTAGTCGTAAGGAGAAGCAAAATTAAAGGACGGAAACAGGCCGCACACACATCTGGTGGAAAATTAAATGGGCTAAATGGATCACATATTAAGGCTGCTCAGGTGGGCAATAATGGTATGTCTGAGAACGTTACCCAAACATGTCCTTCTGGGTCTATATCAAATGACGCATCGGCAATGGAGAGCGATGGGCCGACACCCCTTTTTCAACCTGCACCTCAATCAGATTTCATTCAAATTGGAGCGGGGCTTGACCCGACCAAACATCAGGCCATTATTATTGAGGATGAAACCGCACATTCACCATCTATCATAGACCCGAAAGAACAAACAGTTGATGATGCCATTGATGGGGAGCTGATGTTGGAAGACGCACATGGTGGAAACAACCAAGAGCCATGGCCGGATGAAACTTCAACGCGACGGCTTCCCAATAACGGCGTTGGTCTGGTAAGCAAAGATATGGGCGTGGAAGATATGCTGGATGTTCGGGGGCAACATTGAGTTGCACTGTGATTGTTTCTCTCTTCTCCTGACCGTGTTATCAATGAATATTCTCTCCTGGAATGTACAAGGTGCAGGCTCGCTGGCTTTCAAGGGAGTCTTCGCAACCTTAATTAAGCAGTATCGACCAGAGATTGTTGCAATTTTTGAACCACGGATTAGTGGGGATAAGGCGGACAAGTTTGTGAAATACAGTAGGTACGAGAATTCTTTTCGGATTGAAGCGCGTGGTTTCTCAGGGGGAATTTGGCTTCTATGGAGAGACAACATCCAAACCGAAATTCTCTTCTGTACCCAGCAACTGGCCCATGTCCGTGTGACGACAGATAGCGAGAAGTTCTTGGTGTCCTTTATTTATGCCAGTCCAAGTGCAACCGTCCGTAAGAAATTATGGGATGACCTGGGAAGAATGGCGACCAACATTTCGGAGCCTTGGCTAATCGGGGGTGACTTTAACTGTCTCCTTCGGCGGTCCGAGAAAATGGGGGGTTCTATGCATTGCTGTAATACTAGCCGAGAGTTTGCTGACTGGATATTTAATAACTCTCTTCTGGAGGTGAACACAGACAACCATCTCTATACTTGGTTTCGGGACGGTCCCAATGGCAGAATTGCTGAAAAATTAGATCGTTTTATTGCAAATGTAGCCTGGATGGAGAGGTTTAATACGGGGCGAGTTCATCACCTTCCTAGAACTCAGTCAGATCATTCACCCTTACTGGTGAGGTGTCGCAGACAACGTTTTCTGTCGCCAGGCCCGAAACCTTTTAGGTTCCTTGCTGCGTGGTTACTTCACCCTGGTTTCTCAGATATGTTGAAAGATGCTTGGAAACAACCGGATGGCTATGTCGAGTCGGCAGCTAAATTTACGATGGTGGCGCGGGAATGGAATTCTACAGTTTTTGGTAATATTTTCCAACGGAAGAAAAGACTCATGGCTCGCATTGGAGGGATTCAGAAAAGCCGACAATATTATTTTAGTAATCGGCTAAATAATTTGGAAAAAGAGCTCCGAAAAGAATTGGATGGTGTGATTCTTCAAGAGGAGTTGTTGCTACTTCAAAAATCCTCTCGAGACTGGGCCTATCTGGGGGATCGAAATACCACATATTTCTACAGGCAACTTAAAAATCGACGAAGGCGCGGCCGTATAGTTGAATTGATGGATGCTGATGGGAAGCAAGTTACAGACCAGGACTCGCTCCGGTGCATGGCCACTGACTATTTTAAAAACATCTACACAGCGGTACAGGGACCTCTCAATTATGGGGTAGTGTATAGCCTTTTCCCGACGTGCGACTCGGCGGCAATGAGCCCCATGGCGGCCGACATCACGGACAGAGAAATCTCCTCAGCTCTACACAACATGGGGTCCCTTAAAGCCCCAGGAATAGATGGTTTCAATGCATTATTTTTCAAGAACAATTGGGAGACAGTAGGCCCCTCGGTTTGTGCTTTTATTCGCAAAATGTGGCACGATGGTTCAGTCCCTAACAGTGTGAATAAAACACTGATAGTCCTCATTCCAAAGATCGAAAAACCATCTACCGTTAAGCACTTCAGGCCCATTAGCTTACTTAATGTGATATACAAATTATTCACAAAAATTTTGGTGAACAGGATGAAGGGAATTTTGGCGAATTTGATCCATCCCGCTCAAGCAAGTTTTGTACCGGGCCGTCAGATTACAGACAATATTATTGTGGCTCAAGAGATGGTTCATACTATGCGATATCAACGGGGGAAAAAGGGATTTATGGTAATCAAAGTGGATTTGGAAAAGGCCTACGACTACCTCCGGTGGGATTTTATTGAACAAACATTGAACCTAGCCGGATTCCCAGCCAAATTTATAGCAGGTGTAATGGCCAGTGTTCGATCAGCCTCCATGAGCCTTTTGTGGAATGGAGGAATTGGCGAGGAGTTTATGCCTACTAGGGGGGTCCGTCAGGGCGATCCCATATCACCTTACCTGTTCGTCTTGTGTATGGAGAGGTTGTCGCAACTTATTTGTTCGGAGGTCAATGGAGGGAGGTGGCGGCCTATAACTGTGGGGAGAGGGAAGGTCTCCATACCATTCCTAATGTTTGCAGATGACCTACTATTGTTCCTGGAGGCCTCGGATGATCAGGTTTTAATTCTTCAACGCACTCTGGATTTTTTTTGCGAAATTTCAGGGCTAAAAATTAGCTCGGAGAAGACACAAGTGTTTTTTTCCAATAATGTGCCTGTTCATGAAAAGTCCAGATTAGCAAGCCTACTTAACTTTGAATTGACGGAAAATTTAGGCACTTACCTCGGCATGCCTATGGTCCATGGTCGTGTCATTAAAAGTACGTATTCACATATTCTTGAGAAAGTGGAAGCGAGACTATCCGGTTGGCGCATGAAATCGCTTTCGTTAGCCGGTAGAGTGACCCTCACTCAATCTGTTCTGAGCACATTGTCGTTTTATGCTATGCAATCCGCCAGATTACCTTGTGGGATTACCGATGGCATTGAAAAAAGATGTCGCACTTTTTTGTGGGGTGGATCCGAAGAAAAAAGAAAAGTTCACTTAGTCGCTTGGAGTGGAGTTTGTAAATCGAAGGCAGAGGGAGGGCTGGGAATTAAAAATCCTCGTCATATGAATAGCGCATTTTTGATGAAACTCGGTTGGGGACTTTTGACGAAGCAAAATTCACTGTGGGCGCGAGTCCTTATGGCTAAATATGCCATTATGCCTGGGACACATTTGGAAGGCCTTCAATGCAGGAAGAGCTCACCTTTAATGCGCGCAATTGCAAATGTGTGGCCACATGTGATAAGAGGTGTGAGATGGATAATAGGTAACGGGGAAACGGCACGGTTTTGGGTTGACCCATGGCTGGGTATGGATGGCGCCCTAATCAACTTTGCGACAAAGCAACTGCAAGAGGCGGATTTATTGAAGAAAGTGGCGAGTTTTGTGGGTGAAGATGGTGACTGGAAGTGGGAACTTTTTCAAGATTGTCTACCAGCCTCTTTCCTTCTCCGTATTGCTGCCACCATACCTCCGAGGTTAAGGGCAGACGATGATCGTATTGTTTGGAGCTTGTCTAGTGACGGCAGATTCTCAACGAAGACTGCTTACAATTCGCTTTTAAATCCAGAAAATGATACGGACATGCACATCTGGACGTTAATCTGGAGGACGATGGTGCCACAACGAGTACGTAACTTTTTATGGCTCGCTGGGAAGGGACGATTACTCACTAATTCGGAGCGTTATCGGAGGCACCTGTATAATTCCGAAGAGTGTGACTTTTGTGGGAAAAATGAGACCGTCCTCCATGTTCTAAGGGATTGCCCTTTTGTTCGGGACTTATGGGTTCGCTTACTCTCGGCCGGGCATGAACCGGAATTTTTCGAACAGCCCTTTCAACCATGGTTCTACAAAAATCTAGCGAAGCAGCGGATTGGAAATATTAGAGGATGGAGCAGCCTGTTCGCGTGGACGGTATGGAGGTCCTGGACATGGCGGAATGTTCGAATTTTCAAGGGCAAAAGCATGAGTTGCGAGGCTCGCCGTTTAGAGGTGATAAGCCGGATGGAAAGCTACACACTCATAATAAATGCCTACATTACAGTAGGGGCGAAAACGAATCAATATGTTTCACGGCTTATTCATTGGTCTCCGCCGGCTTCGGGATGGATAAAAATAAATACTGATGGGACATTTGATAAATCCACAGGTTTGGGTAGTGCTGGAGGGCTTATCCGAAACTCTTTAGGTGGGTGGATTGCGGGCTTTCTCATGAATATCGGGTATTGTACTATTACGGGAGCCGAATTGTGGGGGCTTTTACAAGGTTTGCAACTTGCATGGGCGAGAGGGTACCGCCAAGTTATAGCGGAAGTTGATAGCCAATGTGTAGTGAACATGGTCCTTGGGACCGAGAGTAACTTTGGCGTACACGAGGCGCTGGTGAAGGCCATACGACAAGTGGTTCAAAGGGAATGGAAAGTTGAGATAAACCATGTGCATCGAGAAGCTAATTTTGCAGCTGATCACATGGCCGAATTGGCCGCGTCTTCCTCGATCGGGCTCCAGATTCTACCTGCACCCCCACATGGGTTGGGGGTTTGGCTCGAGCATGATATTATAGGGGTGTGTTACCCGCGTCAAGTCCTAGTCTAAAATATCGGGACTCTGACACTTTTATTGTACTNATCTTTTTTTCTTTTTCTTTTTCTTTTTTTTTTTCCAAACCAAATTAGACCGATCCACCAGTTATAGTATTTCACTTTTAGACCTGCTAGGCAGATTTAACAAATTAAAAAAGATAATGATGGAAAAAACCCTAGTTTAAGAATGAAGTCGAGATACGAAGATTTGATGTTTCTTTTTTTACTTTATTTATGTTTTCTATTTTATCAATAATAATTAGGACAATCAATGAACAAATACATGCATATAAATTAATACTAACATACATGCAAAAGCTTCAGTCTTGAATTCTTGATGCATTGTCTAATTCGTCAATAACACACACCCAGATATGCATGTTTACTAACAAACTAATCCAAATGTATTATCACAGGTGAAAAAAAAAGGGAAAGGGATTGCCAAAAATGGCCTTTCACCATTACCATCTTCTCATGATTTCAACCATAATCCTATTATCCCAAGCACAACTATCAACAAGCTGGCTCTTTTCGGCCAAACAAGAAACTCACACGGGCACGAAGAACACGATGATGTCTGAATTCTCCATGGAAGCTCTCCACGACCCTAAGGGCGTACAGCTCATCGACAATGCCAGGACAAAAATGAAAGCTCCAGATTCTTGCTGGCAAGCCTCCTACCAAAACATGTTCGAAAGTTGCTCGAAAATCCTTGCAGACCAAGAATTGCGGGCCCGCCTGGCCTGGCATCTTAGCGACTGCTTCCAAAGCCACACGGGCAGGCCCGGTTTTCCTTACTGTGACCCCAAATCGGTCATGAAGAAATGTTTGACCAATCTCGATACAGACGAGCACAAAATCTTTCTCGAGTACTTTCTCGAGACCAACTCCATTTGCCACCAGCTGCAGTAAGTCTTTCTCTTTCTTTCTCAGATTCTTTTCGAAAGAGAGGAACTTGTTAGGTACAAAAAATTGTGAGAATTTGTAATTTCGAAAGTTATAAATCATAATGCATCACATGCTCTATAATTTGATCATGCGAAAAACTATGAGATTTGTTTGGATTTTTTTGGTTTGGTTTGGGTAATTTTGAAAAAGGTGGTATGGTTAGTTGTTAGTAAGTATATTAAAATAATATTTAAAATAAAATAATTAAAATTAATTTGATGTGAAAGTAGGAGAGATGATTTGAAGTGATGGTTAGTTAAAATAATGTGAGTGGATGAATGGTGAATTAAGGTTGATGTGGTATGTATGAATGATTGATATTATTTGATTATATTGATAACATTGATGATAGTGGGGGTTGAGTTAAAAAAAGTAGTTGAATCAAAATGTTGGAATTTTTTTTGAAGATTCCCATAAACCAACATGGTTTTCTGTGAATTGATTCTAGGTCGGACGCATTTAAGCGTCAAACAGAGAGACTGGTAAATGAACTAAAGAATACGGCTGAATATGCAGAGGTCAAATTGGAGAAGATAGAAGAACAAGGGGAGGTACTGCTCCAGAACTCGAAGCACGTGCATGAATCATTGGCCTCGATAGATTTACAAACTCAGCAAGTTGCAAAGACATCGAGGACGGTCGAGGATCGTGTTAGCTCGGTTTTGAAATATTCCGAGAAAATTCACGAGCAGTCTAAGGGGATCGAGGATTCTCAAGTCGAGCTGAGGGAAAGCCAGGTGAAAATGAAGGAAAGTTTGATAGAAGGCATGGTGCTTCTCGAGAATTCTTATAAAAGTTTGGGGGTGGAAATAGTAAATATGAGACATGAGGCGGTTGAAATCGAGAAGGAGATTGGGAAAGTTGGGGATGCTATGTCTCTGAAGATGAGTGTTTTGCAGAGCAAGGCAGATGATATTGGGGATATTGCAGGGACATCCTTGGACAAACAAAAGCAGCTTTTGGATGGGCAGTCAGTTGCTCTCGAGGGCCTCAATTTTCTCACCAAGTTTCAGTCCCAGGCCCTTGAAGAGAGCAGGTAATTTTCATTTATTTTATTTATTAGGTACCCTTTTTTTTTTCTTTGTATATATTTCTTCATGAAGCTATGGGAGACTAACAGGACCTATGTGAATATTGGATTTTCTTTTATGGTTAGTAGTTACAAGATGTACCCCGGTATTTCCAAGTTCTAACAGTTGAAAGGGGCTTTTGCAATTTTGAAATACATCAAGTCATTATGTTTTCAGAATATAACACCCCCCTTTTGCAATTTTGAAATACATCAAGTCATTATGTTATCAGAATATAACACCTCAAGAATTACTTTTGTCGTTATTCATATTTTCAATGACATAATTAGATATCATATCAATGTGACAATGTCGAACTTACAGGGAAACTCTGCAGAGGTTAGCTGAATTTGGTCACAAACAGCAAGAGGAACTACTGCAAAAGCAAAAACAACTCCATCAGTCTCATGATCAGTTAGTGGAGAACTCAAAACTAATAATAGCAGCACAGGTTCGAAATGTTTTTCTTCAAAAACTTTCAGTTTTGTTTTCATAAAGCAAATTGTACGAGGTTGAGCAAATATGTATACATATTTGAAAACTTCATCTAATTACAGGAAGCATTTGAATCCAAGCAAGCAAGCATGTTTCTTGCCATAGACAAGCTATTTTCCCTACAGAGTGCCATGCTATTCGAGTCTCGAGTGATCACCACTTTTTTTGTATACACTATTGCAATTTTTATCATCTACATGCTGACCAGCATAAAGCAAGCGTACAACGTGAGACACAGACTCTACTTAGGTAAAGATTTTATGCCACGGCCTCAAAATTTTCACGTACAGTTCTCAAAGATCCCCTTAACATTGTAATTTTTGTCCATTGCTGGTGGAATTTCTCTCGCAGGTCTGTGCGTAGCATTTTTTATTGAAGTAATTATACTGTGGTATATAACAACAGAAGCTGAAAGGCAAGGGAGGATAATTCATGCAGTTAGATCACTCTTTTGGTTTCTTGCGTCCGTCCAATATCTGTATGCCATTTTTACCTACAGGTGAAATTTTACAGCTGCAATATATTAAAATATTAAGTTTTACATAAAGACAGATTATATTGATGTGACTATGAATGTTATGCAAAATGGTGGCAGGGATTATGAAGTGCTTAACCATCAAATGCTACTGACACTAATGGAGAAAGTGAACATAATGCAAGGTGGGAAAGGGCTATTGTCATGGGATGACATGGATGCTGAGAGCGAAGTAAACTGGTCTTCATGGGTCGATACTGAGTTACCAGAAGAGGTGAACTTGTCAGAAGACCCTGACTACTTATTACCTAAGGAAATCGAGGATGATTCCTCTATGAGCAGTTCAAATACCAAGAGATATAATCTCCGTAGGCGAAATTGAAATTTTTTGGTGCTCATAATATTTCCTGCTATTGTTTAGTTTTAAGTTTTAACTAGTAACCAAACAGGACAGGGATTTTGTAATTTAAAGACAAGATACAAAAATGTTGAGCCTGAGATATTTGTTTGACATTGCATTTAATGTATCAATATACGATGAAACTTCCATAATCAACGTCAGTTCTCTGAGGGTGTTCTTATTCGGAATACTAAAAGAGTGTTTTTCAACTTTTGGCTGAAAAGATTGATCTAAGCCGGTTTATTTCGTTATTTTATTTAATTTTTTACCCTTAAATTGTAAAATTGGATCTTGATTACTCTCTAGATTTTGCTTTTTTAAATTGCTCCTCCTAAAAGCACAAGTTTTAGATACAAACATCATAATGAATTACGATAAGATAAATGAGTCGTCCTTATTGATATCAAAAACACAAACTTTTGCTAAGCATATCACATTTTCAATCAGATAGCTTTACACTTACAGATGGGTTCTCGTGAACAAAACCCCTAATTCCAACATTCACGGCAATAGCAGCTTCCCTTTCAAAATTTTGAAGTAGGTTTGTGTTTCTCCAGATAATCTTTCTCCAAGTCAATCTTAACGTGTGTAACCCAGGTTCTTTGTAATTCTGATCGACAATCCATTTCTCGTATAAATTGAGGTAATACCGCCAAAAGCCTCTCACTGTGCCCACAGACCAACTCTACCCTCATTTCCTAATTTGATGGCATGAACAAAAATACCATTATAACAAATCATTTCCACATTTTTGACTAATTATCCAAACGTGAATTCAACACAACAATGGCATGTACCTCTTTACCGATATAAAGTGCCATAACAAATCAATAGAACCATAGGTGGACTTACCCATGTAAACACCACATTCTCCCTCTGCAGTTTCCTGATAGTTTTACAGCCTTGATCTCTCTAAAGACCCCACCGCAACAATAAATTTCAGTTGGGCATTATGTTTTAAAAGTATCTAATATTATATGTGTTAACAATGTTACAATCAAAAGACATTAAGAATACGTAGACTATTATATAACATATGTGAAAGTATTAAAATATTTTATATTATTATCGAAAAATGTGAAATTACCTCAATTCTGTCTAGACTATTTTATAAAAAAAATATATATAATTAAAGTTAGCATACACACACATATATATCCAAAGTTTGCCCAACAAACATGTTTAAAAGTATATATAATTTTATATATAAAAACACGTTTTAGACTACTCTCAGTTTATATAAAGTTTGTTGCTCTCATATTCGGATAACGTATTATGCATTTAATGAAAGCACCTACGATACAAATTTATAAATATTAATTAAAATAATTTTCTAAATTATATAAAATTGAAATAACAAAGGTAAATATTACCTGTTCATCATGAAACAGTATTAATTAAAATAATTTTCTAAATTATATAAAATTGAAATAACAAAGGTAAATATTACCTATTCATCATGAAACAGTATATGGAATGCGTTACAGCTCTCCCGTTCGTGATGAGTTCATGAAACAGTATATGGAATGCGTTGCAGCTCTCCCGTTCGTGATGAGTTTCAATAATATATGGGATGCGTTACAGCTCTCCCGTGATGGGTTTCAATAATGCGGGTGCTCTCAGACGCAAAAAAAAGTTTGTTTCTTTTGTTAACGGAATCAAGTCTACCCCAGCCTGGAAGCATTATATTATATATGCGATGAAAAATTATTCTCTGTATTTTTTTTTTCCCTCAACTCGTGAATGATGACTTGTAATGGTGGTAGTGAATATCCTTTTATACAATTTTTTATTAACCAAAAGTGATAAGATAATTATGGATTGTATTTGGATAGATAGTAAGTCCCATGATTTTTGCAACGCACAATCAATTTCACATATTTTTTATTAACCAAAAGTGATAAGATAGTTATGAATTGTATTTGGATAGATAGTAAGTCCTATGATTTTTGCAAAGGACAATCAATTTCACATGCTTAATTAACGGAAATATCACCATTATTAAGGAGAATATCCATTTGCTTAATTAAAGTAGAATACATAAATAGAAAGTCAAAAGTCAACTCAATTATTTTTAGATTTCTAAAAAAAGATTTTTACATCAACCTTTTTAGATATATATAGATGTAGTATTAAAAATTACTGCAATGCCCTTATTTAAGTATATTTTTTGCTTTTTTATAAGTCGTTGGATCATGCGATCCAATAGTTATAATGTATTCCTATTTCTCGCATTAAGTCATTCTCACCTGAGCGTGACCCTATGTATATATATATTTATAAAAAATATTTAAAATTTCAACCACTTTTTCTTATTAATTTTAAATTTTAAGAAAAAATAATTAGGAAGCGTTGTTGTACTAATTATTTAATAAACAAGCATCCCCAAACATTTTAACTAAACACTAGTATGTGGCCCGTGCGATGCACGGGTAAATAATATCAAATAATAATTATAAATTGACGATATAGGTATATAATATGTATTCGTTTAGAATTTTGAGTGCCACTTTGAGATTTTTTAAGATTTGAGACTTCTAAGATGATCAAATTTTAGAGGAATACTATGAAATCTTAAGTGTGAATGTGAGATTTAGAGTAAAATTTTGTATAATGTTTTTTTCTTTTAAATTATAACTAATCTTAAAAAGACCTAACAAATCTTGATCTCAAATAAGTTAAATATTTAAGGATATTTTAAGATTTTTTTAATTTTTATATATCAAGATGAACCGCTTTTGTTACCAAAAAATGTGGACACAATTTTGAATGTACATCCCGTCCAAATATCAGTTTTATTCTAAAATAAAAATTGCACGTGGTTTTATCCAATTTACACACTTTTTTTTGAAAGAAAAAATTATTCAATAAGATTGAAAGAATTAGTTAAGAATTATACAACTATTTGTTTACAAAATTTGTATCCAATTTGTACAGTTTTTTAGTTAATTTGTATTTAGAATTGTTTTCATAAATAATTGACACATTTGTTACCAAAAAATATATGATTTAAATTTTGGTAAAAAAAATAAAATATGATACGAAAAAAATAGAATTCAAATTTTGCTATAAGAATTTCCAAATTAGTTACCAAAAAAATAGGATTCAGATTTTGTTACTAAAGATTCACATGTATTTTTTTAAACTTTTCATTAATAGTAAGTCAACCATTATATTTATTTGGTCAAACTTTCTATTAATGTATTTTTCCAACAACCTCTTTATATATACTAGTACAATCCCGTGCGATGCACGGGGGTTTATTATCTCCGTCCCTTTTATAAAGCAATGTTCAGTTAAAATTCAAAGTACTTACTAAAGGAAAGATCATGCCATTAATAATAAATAAATTAATAAATACAATGATAATAAAATCTATATATTATTGAACACCCTTATATACAACGTTCATGGTTTGATTCTTTGGCACGTCATCGTCGCTGCAAATTAGGACTTTCAAACCCATTTCTGTTTGTGACACGGGAGACAGCAACATACAATTGACCATGACTAAACACTGGTTTCTTAAGAAAGAAGCCCACATGCGATAATGATTGTTCCTGACTCTTGTTTAGTCATGTTGTAAGAAAACATAATGGGAAACAATTAATCCAATAACAACTACAAAAATATAAGAAAATGCATCATATTGAAATGTATAACATATAAAATAGTTTATTACAGATTTTAAATTAAAAAAATCGAAATAAGAAATAAACAAAAAAATTATAACGTACCAAACAACATGACTTCATCAATGTTACGAACATCCATTAAAGTTAAAAATAGAGAAATCACCCCTCCATTTGATAAATCACCTCTCCATTTGATAAATCACCCCTCCATTTGATAATCTTGGTTTGACCATTGATAATGATCCTCCTTTTACCTTTCGTCGATTTATGGATGCCAGTATTGCTTTTCACTTGATAGTTTGTCAAGATATAAGCGTCACCTTCTTCAATATCACCGATGATTTTTTGGATATTGACAGGTCGAATTATGGCAGTAATTCATCCTCCCTAAAACATTGCATAATGAATACTTCAATAAATAAATTATAAAAGATGTTGCATAAAATGATGCATTTAAATAATACTAAATGAATATATTACCCCAAAATCATAAAAGATAATCTCAAGCACATTTCGGTAATTGCGTACGTCTTCAACTTGTTGGAACATCCTAATTATGCGTAGCTTGATTGGTGGCTTATTGGATCTTTTGATATCCTTGATTACTCCAAAATCCGAAGCTATTTTCAATGGTGATGTAAAAGCTTGTAGAAAAAATTGTTTTGTGGGATATATTGGATGTCGAATACTTTTTGTTCAACGTTGGTGATATTTATATAGTCATGTGTATGTGCCATATGTCTAAGAAATAAAAAAATATTTACGTAAGGTATTTAATATGATCCGATCCGATTTTTTTTTATTATGATTATGATTGACTTCTAAAAATATGTGTTATCGGTTTTGTTAAAAAAAAAATGTGGAACGTGATTCACTTGTGAGGGACAAACCAATATTTAGAAGATTATGTAGCCAAAAATAATGGAGTTTGTTACAATGAAATTTGGTAAGACTTTTTGGATAGATTGAAAAATAATATTTTTATTTTGATCTATTTATTTGGACAAATCCAAAACTTTAATTTACAAAATTATAATCTTTAATTTTTTGAAACGTGTAAAATTTTCTAAGATAACTTCTATAAAACAAAATGTGATCAAATCATAATTGATTTTTATGCCTTAATATTCCAAATCAAACTTTACAAATATGGTATGATTATTTACTATTAATATTTTATTTTTTCAAACGTCTGATTCTCTTAGGTTTATATGAAACAAAGTTCAATCAAATCAAAATTGATTTTTATGCCAACACTAAAACTTTATCAATATGATATGTTTATTTTATTTATTTATTTTTTTCAAATCCACGACTCAAATTTTCGAGAGAGAGAAAAAAAAAGGAAACAAAATCTTATCAAACCTTATCAAATTTTTGAGAGAGGAAAAAAAAACAAAAAAAAAAAATTGGAAACAAAATCTTATCAAACCTTATCAATAATGAAGATTCGTGTTTCCACGAAAAACTAACAAAATTCTGTGGTTACCAAAATCCTATCAAATTAGTTAAGAAAATCCCATTAAATTGGTTAACAATATTGGAACGCATTTTGTTAGGAAAGATTTACGTAATTTATCTATCTAATTAATATCATATTAACGTGTGGGCTCAGTGATATTAATTTAGTGTAGCATCCATTATCTCAGAATAATTATTTGTTTGATTTACAACATTAATTTGAATGGAAAAAAAAATCCGTAATTGTTGAGATATCTCAATTCAAAATCTCAATTTTTTCGCATAAGAATTTTCAAATTTGTTACCAATAAAAATAGATTCCTATGGGATTAATATTTAAAATGTATTAAATTTTGGTATAAGAATCTCCAAATTTGTTACCATAAGAATCTTCAATTTGTTACCATAAGAAACCCATAAAAATCTCATATGGATTGTAGTTTATCAATATTTAATATAACATCCATTATTCTCGGAATAATTTTTTGTTTGATTTAAATCATGAATTTGAAGGGGAAAAAATCCGAAATTGTTAGGATATCTCAATTCAAAATCTCAATTTTTTGGCATAAGAATCTCAATTTGTTACCATAAGAATCCCATAGAAATCTCCTATGGGATTGGAGTTTATCAATAGTTGGTATAACATCCATTATTTTTGGAATAATTTTTTGTTTGATTTACAACATTAATTTGAATAGGAAAAAAATTCGTAATTGTTGGAATAACTCAATTCAAAATCTCAATTTTTTGGCATAACAATCTTTAAATTTGTTACCAATAAAAGTAGATTCCTATGGATTAATATTTAAAATGAATTAAATTTTAGTATAGGAATCTCCAAATTTGTTACCATAAAAATCTCCAATTTTTTTGGGGTACTCAATTAAATTTGTTACCATTAAAATCTCCAAATTTGTTGCCATAAAAATCTCAATTTTTTTGGTAGATGTGTTTTTTTCGAAATTTCCATTAATAGTAAGTCAAACTATTTATTTATTTTAGTCAAACTTACTATAAAAACATTTTTCCAACAACCTCTTTATATTACTATAGATATATAGATTAAAAAGAATCATTATTTACTCCTGAAAATGAAGTCGATTTTCCTACCAATAAACTGATTTTTTATCAAACAAATTGATCCGAATATTTTTTTAAACCAAATAAAAAATCATCAATTTTTCCTAAGAATGCAACCGAATTTTCCTAACAGTGCACCAATTTTTTTACCAAACAAATTGAATTGAAAATAATTTTAATAAAAAATTGAAACAATTTGTTAATGTTTATGCAACTGTCTCTTTCCTAAAGAAAATGATATTAACTTAAAAAAAATGATATGAACTTACCAAAATCTCGGTAAAACATGGTTAAGAAAAAACATAAGAATCTAAAAAAATCGATGCATTTAAATTTTGAAAAGTTGCACACAATTTTTTCTAATAAATTGGATAAGGTGACTTTAAATATCAAAGATGAATCACTTTTGTTACCAAAAAATGTGGACACAATTTCGAATGTACATCCCGTCCAAATATCAGTTTATTCTAAAATAAAAATTACACGTGGTTTTATCCAATTTACACACCTTTTTTTAAAGAAAAAATTATTCAATAAGATTGGAAGAATTGGTTAAGAATTATACAACTATTTGTTTCCTAAATTCGTATTCAATTTGTACGGTTTTTAAGTTAATTTGTATTTAGAATTGTTTTTATAAATAATTGACACATTTTTTGCATAAGAATCTCCAAATTTGTTACCAAAATATATGATTTAAATTTTGGTAAAAAAAAAAACAAAATATGATGCGAAAAAAATAGAATTCAAAATTTGCCATAAGAATCTTCAAATTAGTTACCAAAAAAATAGGATTCAGATTTTGTTACCAAAGATTCACATGTATTATTTCGAATTTTCCAGTTATAGTAAGTCAATTGTTTTATTTATTAGGTCAAACTTTCTATTAATGTATTTTTCCAACAACCTATTTATATATACTAGTACAGATCCCGTGCGATGCACGGGTTGCACAAAATTAAGACTATTTATCAAGTCTTATAATTATATAAATGAATAAAAAAAATGTACGGGATATATATAGTACGTGACCTGTAATAGGCCAAAATGTGAACACGGGTGATGCACGGGGTGCACAATTTTCTAGTATGTCTAATACAAATACATACCGTATGCACGGGACAGAAGCACTAAATGAGTTATTTCTACATAGCTTGCCCGTTAAGTAGCTCCTGAACACGGGTGCACAATTTGTAGTACGTACTATAAAATCAGAACCGATTTCTATACATTTAGATAATAAATTAGATAATAAATAAAGCTTTTTTTTTATGTTAGTAAAGATTTTACGTACTTATTTTTACTTATCGGATGTTATGAGATTTTTTTTGTTAAACCGATTTTATGGGATATGATACAAATACAATTAGAGGATTGAACAAAATCAGAACAGATTTCTATACAATTAGATAATAAGAAGGAATTACATAAGGAAAAGAAGAAATTAGATAAAGAATTTTGAATCTACCTTTTTTTAGTATAGATAGACTTTACGTACAAATTTTGACTTCACCGATTTTATGAGTTTTGTTTTGACAATATCAAAGATGAATACTGAAGACTGTTTTTATTAACATTTACAATGTGTTTTTAATTATTTTTTTTTGGAAAAATATTATTTTTAAGTGTGATATATAAATATTAAAAATACTTAAAATATTTTATAACATCTATAAAAGCATCTAAAATATTCTATATTATTCACAAATAATGTTTGAAACTACCTAATAATGTTCGGAGAGCTTCATTAATTTAAAAGTGTAAAATAAATAAATAAATAAATGTACAACAGAAAAAGTTACAACCAATTGTATGGAGAATTAAACTAAATCTAATTTTGTGGGATACATTAATATTTATTAAATTTTATATGTAAAATAAAATAAGAAAATAAATGAAATAGTTTTACGTGTTGTAATATTTTATATTTAAAAAAATTAAAAAATCTTCTTTTACGTATTGCATACCAACATTTTAGGAACTACATGGATATTCCTAAATTAATATTGCATATCCAATATTTTAGGAATTAATTAAATGCTAATTTGATTTGCATACCAAAAATATTAGATGCATTAATTAAATGATTGATAAAAATAGCAAATAATATTAGATGCATTAATTAAGGTTGACTATTCTACATACTACATTTAGTAAATAGTATAGCTTTTAATATAAGTATAGATATAGATATAGATATAGATTTTAACTTAACCATTAAATCACTTCACAAAAATAAAGCATAAGTCGATAGTGTCACTGCAGAGGCTCCATTAATCCCATTCCCCCGGAAGACGACGACGTCTCTTGTTTTGCCTAAAGTCGTGTAATTTCATATCGTCGGCGCGGAAAATTGCTTCAATAAATTTGCCATGTGAGGTGCAGAATCTTCAGGAAACGCGTTGGACAATGCATTAGTCTACGAAATTGTCTTCTTCTGCTTCATTCATTCTTCTCGGATTTCATCATTTTTTCCCAATTGGGTATGTAGCGATTTTTCCTCATCAGGAGTTCCATTCTTGTCTGATTTTTCTTATTACGGAAATGGTGTAATTGGTGTGCCGTTATTCTTTGCTCGTAGTAATTGCTCCACGTGTTGGATGATTCCCCTCAGTTTTTGTAAGAAGATTAATTAATTGCTTCAGTAGTTTGGATGTTCTTCCGTTCTTTGTGATTTCTTTTTTGGGGGCGAAACAGAAATAGTCAATTATGGTTTGTGTCAATACTCCATAGATTATGTCACAAGAACAAGCCTTTCAAAGGCGACTTTGGATTGCTTTTATTTACAGAATAAGTTTCTAAATAGTTTTGTTAAATATGGCCTTTCATTTAGAAGGGGCTTGTGGTCTTGCAAGGTTGTTTATGTGCATGCTACTTTTCATAAAGCTAGCTAATCTGTTCAACAATGATATAGGCAAGCTAGAGATTTTTTACAAGCCAAGCTCTTACCTGTTCCAATCATTGATGATTAGAATTTTCAGCAAATCATATAAGCATAAACAGGAGCATATATTTATTTTTCTTTTTTGGCCTTTTCTTCTACCCAGTTTGTTGCCGTGATTATAGATGAATGATGTTTGATTATAATAGTGCCACAATGCTAGGGTCATGTCCTCAAGTAAGAGATAGCCTCTAAATATAAAGGTTGTAGAGTTGCTATTTAGTGTATATGTGTATGATGTGGTTTATATGCAGGTAATGAAATGTTTATTGTCTTTTGAAAGATGTTGGTTGACTACTGTGCTGAGAAGACAGATGTAATGATTAGATGCATCTTCAAGAGTCAAGTCATGAAAAAGAAAGAGCAATTAAACTGAAGGTTGATATTAGTTTAACTGCTGATGTTGTCGATCGGTATAATTATACGGGTCACAAGTGACCTATGTAAGATGAGTAAAATGAGAACACATAAACCTTTTGTGTAAAAGTTAGAATGCTTAAACAGCAGTTACAGTCACTTGAACTTCTCCTTCAACTCCTTCAACGTCTATGTAAACTTCCGAAGCAAGTTAAACAAATTCATTCCTTGTTAATTACACAAGTTCATATCCTCATTACAGATATATTGATCAATACCCTCCTCTACAACACACTCATCAGAACATACCTTAATCTCTCTAGTCCACACACCAGCCTCATCCTCTTTGTTAACATGCTTCGCCATCGGGCCCCGCCCAATAGCCACACTTTCCCCTCTGTTCTTTAAACAACTGCTTTGCTCTCTCATTCGTATAGAATCGCACCCACGAGTTTCTCGTTAAATGCTCAATGTGCTAAAAGAGGCATATTAAATGACCAGTTTGTCCGAACGTCGTTATATCTCTTTACTCACAAATTGGTGATGTAATTAGTGCACATAAGATGTTTGACGAGATTTCTCAACCGTGTATTGATTCATGTAATGCAATGCTTGATGCTTTTGGCAAAAGCGGCGAAATGGAGTCCGCAAATTCAATCTTTTTAAGCATGCCTGAAAGAGATGTTTACTCCTGGACTAGTATTATCAACAGTTACGCGCGTAATGAATGCTTCGAGGCGGCCGTTAGCTTTTTCAAGAAAATGATGACTGATGACGATGTTAGTCGTGGTCTTTTCAGGCCGAACGAGGCAACTTTTGTAAGTGTTCTCTCGTCTTGTGCGAACATGGATGATGGCTTTGCTTCAAAACAGGGAAAGCAAATTCATGGATACATGATAAGAAGTGAGAAGGAATTGAGTGTTAATATTGGAACGGCAGTGATAGCATTTTACGGGAAAATGGGATGCTTAAATTTGCGTTTAAAGTGTTTGATGCTATGAGTGTCAGAAAGTTTGTGCTTGGAATGCTATGATATGTTCACTGGCTTCAAATGGCAGGGAAAGTCAGGCGTTGGATATGTTTGAGAGCATGAAGAGCCTGGGGACTGTGTCCAAATGAAGTTACTTATGTGGGTGTCCTATCAGCTTGTGCTCGGAAAAAGCTCGTAGACTTGGGTTTGGATTTGTTTCGATCAATGGCGCTCGATTTTTACATTACACCAAGAATGGAACATTATGGATGCGTGGTTGATCTCTTGGGTAGAGCAGGTCTCTTGGCGACCATGCCTTTTAAGGCCGATGCCTCTGTCTTGGGTGCGCTTTTGGGTGCTTGTAGGGTTCATGGGGATATTTGCTGCTTTCAAGCATTTATGCTGGAGCGGGAATATGGGACCACGCGGCTACCTTGCGGAAAGTAATGGCACATGTCGGGATTCAGAAAGTTCCGGCTTTTAGTGTGGCTGATTAAAAGTAAAACTAATTTGGCTCTGTATTTTCTGTGCTTGAAACGTTGTATTGACAAATTTTGGGGTGATCAATTAATTTTTTGCTGTCAGGCGATCTCTAGGGAGTCACTT